TTCCATGGATAAGCACGTTTTTTACTATTTTCCAAAGGAAACACATTGAGAGGTTAGATTTACCAACGGGAGCTTCTTCAGAGTTAAATACAAAAATTTAAGGAAAAGTTTTCTTGTTTTAAAGTTTGGAGATCAAAATGAAAGAGTAACAGATGCAGGGGCCGGTGCTGTGGCATAGTGGGTATACCTGCAGCCTGCAGCACCGGCAATCCATGTGGGTATCGGTTCGAGTCCCGGCTGCTCCACTTCTGATCCAGATCCCTACTGATGCACCTGGGAGGGCAGTGGAAGATGGCCCAAGTCCTTCAAGCCCTGCACTCACATAGAAGACCCGGATAAAGCTACTAACTCCTGGGTTTGGTCTGGTCCAGCTCTGACAGCTGCAGCCACTTGGAGAATGAACCAACAGATGGAAGCTCTCTCTCTCTCTTGATCTCCCCCCACCCCCGCCTCTCCTTCTCTGTAACTCTTTCAAATAAATAAATAAATCTTTTTTAAAAAGAGTAATAGATGCAATGTACAAAATCAAATTATGATGGATGCTGAACAGGTGAGTCACAACTATGGTATAAAATACTGAATTTGGGCAGATCTCTCCAATAAGAAATTTGGGATTGGGGGAGGAGGGACATCTGGCACAGTGGTTAAGACGCTGCTTGGGATACCTGCATCCCATATCAGGGTGTCTGATTCAAGTCCTGGCTCCACTTCCAACTCCACCTTCCTGCCAATGTGCACCACAGGAGGCAGCAGGTGATGACTCAAGTACTTGGGTTCCTGTCACCCATCCAGCTGAGTTCCCGGCTCTGGGCTTTGACCTGGCCCAGCCCCAGCTGCTGCAAGCATTTGAGAAGAGAGCCACTACATGAACCACTACTCTCTCTCTCCCTCTCTCTCTCTCTCTCTCAATCTGCTCCTGTCTCTCTTTCTGTGTCTCTGTCTCTCTCTCAGTCTTTCTGCCTTTCAAATAAATAAGCAAATGCCTTAATAAGTTAATATTTGAAAAGAAAACTGAAATTGGAGGAAAAGCATCCTCTGTTAAACACGTGTGTTGGGGCCGGCACTGTGGCGTAGCGGATAAAGCCGCCATCTGCAGTGCCAGCATCCCATATGGGTGCCAGTTCTAGTCCCGGCTGCTCCACTTCCAATTCAGCTCTCTGCTATGGCCTGGGAAAGCAGTGGAAGATGACCCAAGTCCTTGGGCCCCTGCACCCACGTGGGAAACCTGGAAGAAGTTCGTGGCTCCTGGCTTTGGATCAGCCCAGCTCTGGTTGTTGAGGCCATTTGGGGAGTGAAGCAGTGGATGGAAGACCTCTCTCTCTCTCTCTCTCTCCCTCTCTCTCTCTCTCTCTCTCTGCCTCTCTGTAACTCTGCGTTTCAAATAAATAAATAACTAGATCTTTTAAAAACGATTTATGTAGCAAAAAAATGAACAAATCCCATGTGTGTTGATGAGGATCAGTTGAGCCCCTGCACTCTGAAGTCATCCTCCCCAAATACATGAAGTGCAGACTTTTCGCATGGATCTTTTTCTAGTTCAGAGACTTTCTTCTGTTGATATTTTGTAAGAGTTTGATGCCCTCCTATTTACAGATGAACAATAGCTCTCATTGTCATGTTTTCCTTTGTATTTTCAACCTAATCTGATTCAATTCTGTCTTCTGTTTTAAAGAAACAGAGACACCAGCAGACACTCCCTCAGCTGAATCTAGACAATGTTATTGGAAATTTCAAAAATAAAATTAAAGAAAATAAAAATTACAAATTCAAATTTACTTTGAAAAATGAAAAAGTGCTACTGACCTCACCTTAATCAGGAATGAATGTGCACCCACAACTCAACAAACATTTCTGCCTTAGATCCCAGGACACAAATTAACTGGTCATCTCGATCCTCAGCACTGTCCCAGCTTAGAAAGCTGCAGATTTCTTCTCATGCCTCACTTGAGGCTCCCCTGAGAAATGGTTCCTTTTCCGTGGAGTATTCAGAATAAGTGACAAATGTCTACCATTGATCCAGCTGCAGGTCAGCACCTCATGGATTAAAGACATCAGAAGGGGCAGACGTGGCACAGCAGTTAGGACACCACTTGGGATGCCCACTTCCTATATCTGAGTGCCTGGGTTTGATGCCAGCTCCACTCCCCATTTCAGCTTCCTGGGAAGCAGCAAGTGATGGCTCCAGTTGTTGGATCCCCACCACCCACATGGGGGTCCCAGTTGAGTTAATGGCTCCTGACCTCAACCTGGCCCAGCCACAGCTATGGTGGGCATTTAGGGAGTGAACCAGTGGATGAGAAATATCTCTCTCTCTCTTTCTCTTTCTCTTTGTGTGTGTGTCTCCCTTTTAAACAAATAAAGTAAATACGTTTTTTAAAAAAGCATAAATAACAAAGGAAAAAATAATTCAGCCTAAGTCCCTGTTCCATCTGAATACCATGTGACTGGCTAATTGCACACCTCTCAGAACCCCGGTTTCCTCAGCAGGAAGACAGGAGTAGTAAAAGGATCGCTGCTCCTGTGGGATGATTTGGGGGTCATTAAGCACCAAGCTTAGTGCCCGATGGCAAATGTCAATGAGAACCAGAATTATGGCCTTTGTTGTTGTTGATAACATTAACAAGAAAGAGCGAGAAGTGAGACGGTCTATGCAGTGATTCCACAGGCCAGGGCATCCACTCCTCAGAGACACACAGGGCAGTGGGGACAAGGTGCAGGGCGATGTGAGGGGTAGGACAATCTGGCTGACAGGAAGGTGTGCTAGGGGCAGTGAAGTGTGCTAGTGGGCCACCTCTGAAGGCCCTGAAGGCCCAGCCCCAGGCAATGAGGAGTGAAGGAAGTTATCCAAGCAGCAGAGTGACGCAGGCGGATGATTTGCTAGAAAGAATCCCTCTGATAACAGAGGCCAGTGCAGGGGAAATCTGGGGCAGGGAGACCAGCAGGATGGGTATCGAGTGGTCTCTCGGAAGGCACAGATGACACTGGCGTGCGGTCCAAGAGTCCCCACTCACAGACGTTGCAGCCCTGTCTTGGAAGTGGGCTGTGAGCCAGAGTGGGATCCAAACATCAGGCACAGTCCTAACATGTGCCAGTCACGGGGCAAGAACGCAAATAAGGCCTGTGTACCCTATGTCGGAATACTTGAAAGTTACCATTCAAAGTAATGAAACTGATAAGTACATTATATTTTGTCCTCTTTTATGAGAGAACCCTTCCTAATAGTGGGAAGATCTGTGTGGATCACTCTTGCAAACCTCAGATTTCATGTAGGAACACAGCAGCACACAGGGAACAGGTCCAGCCCACAGCCCATTGCCCCTCTCCCCTGTCGCCAGCTCTGTGCCATGACCCCACACGCACAGACGTGGACACTCCTGCCTGACCATCCAAGCTCTGCCCACACCCCCGTAAGCAGGAGTGTCGTTTGACGCTTCTGCCTGGGAGAGGCACAGCGGTGGCCCTGCCCTCCAGGGGTGGGCAGGCGATCTTAGGCCCCAGCCAATTAAAGCACAGCCCAGAGAAGGGGGAGGGCAGGTGCAGGCTCCAGGTGGGCAGATCCCTCTTGTCCCAATGTAACGGCCCACTCCAAGGGGAGGGGCTTAGCCAAAGGGTAGGCCCAAGATCAGAGAAGGGAGTCTCTCTTTCTAGAGTCTAAGGATAGAAATAGTGAATTGACGGCAAATTGTCTGCATGGACCCGCATGAATGCCTCCTGCCTGCCTGTCATGCACCAGGTCCCACCGACAGCTCTGGACCTCGCCGCAGAGAGTAAGGTCGGGGTGGTCAACTGTGTGGATAAAGGAGGCCCTGAGGAGAGAAGCCAAGATGAGAAAGCCCAGGAAGACACACAGAGAAAGGGGCTTCTTCAGTGTTCCCCATGGGCTCGTTTTCTTCCAGGCTAAGTGTCCCTTCAAATGGGTCAGCCTTCTGTCCCCCTCAGAGTCTGACCCAGTTGGAAGGCAGCGCCATGGCCTCAGTGCTTGGATAAATCAATGGACATGACACCAGTGACGCTTCTGCAGGCCTCCAGTGTGCTGGCTCTGTGCTCTGCATCATCTCGTTCCATTCTCACCACAGCCCAGAGCGACGTTCTACTGCTACTGTAGCCTCACAGGTGGAGCGTCACAGGTAGAGTTTATCACTGATGAGTGGCAGAGCTGAGTGTGTGGGTGAATAAACAAATCCGCAAAAGAATGCAAAAGAGAATAATGAACAAACCCATATAGAAATGAGTACATTGGGGGCCAATGCTGTGGCAAGCAGGTTAAGCCACAGCCTGCAGCACCAGCATCCCATATGGGCTCCAGTTGAAGTTTCAGTTGCTCCACTTCTGATCCAGCTTCCTGCTCATGCACCTGGGAAAGCAGTGGAAGATGGCCCAAGGGCTTGGGCCCCTACAGCCATGTGGGAGACCTGGAAGAATCTCCTGTCTCCTGGCTTCAGTCTGGCCCAGCCCCAGCTGTTGCAACCATTTGGGAAGTGAACCAGTAAATGGAAGATCTCTCTCTCTCTCTCTGTCTCCCCCCTCTCTCTCTGTAACTCTTCCTTTCAAAGCAACAAGATAAATCTTTTTGTAAGAAAAGAAATGAGTACATTCATGTGCTTTATCTTTTTGTAGTATTTAGAAGCCTTCTGACCTCAGTGCTGTGGGCTCTTGAACATCAGGGATCTCCAAGGATATGGGCTCTACTCAGCCATCGTCCACCCCCAGCTCGCTCACTCCCAAAATAGAACAACTCTCCCAGACCACAGCTTGTCCCACTTTCTAGGTATTCACTGGCCTTTACATCTCTCAGCTGTCCCCATTTTCTCCTTACCCCTTACTCAGCAGCCTCTCCTGGGACACGCCGATGAGGAGCCATCTTCAAAGCTGTCATTGTCACCCCACTGCTGGGACCCAGGCCTTGCGACTTCTCCCTACTGCCTCTTGGCCCCAACCTGCCATCCCCCATTCTCAACCCATTTGGGGTATCGTTCCTTAGGATGCACAGACACAAGAAGCAGATTTGTAAGTTTAATGACACATGGAAACTAAGCGACCTGAAGCCAGGTTACGTCTATCCCCGGTTTCTATTTTTATTGTGTTTTTTGCCTTTCTTAGTCACGTGAGGAGTGGTCCAGTCAAGCTGCCCATCAATCGTTACTGGCTGGATTGTTAAGTAGTGGTCAGGGACACAGCATCGCTTACGATTGTGGCAGCGGATGACGTGGTCTTCACCATCTCTGCACACCAAGCGGCAGTGTCCGTGCAGCCAACATTCCCCTTCGGGGTGGGGAACAACCATGAAGCAGATGTTAGTGTCTCCCGAGTGGACACCCAGGAGGGCCCAGAAGGGGAGCAGGAGAGCAGGGAAAGGCAGGAGAGAGACCGCCGAATAAACCGTGCCTGGCCCAGGCCCAGGGAAGGCAAGGAGAGACCTTGAGAGGGAGGACCTGAGGCAGTTACTGTGGTTGGGAACTCTGAAGTTCTCAAAAGCGTTCTTTTTCAGACTTCCCACCCTTCCTGTCTCCCCAGCTGCCTGCTCTTTATTTCAAGACGCATTGATACCAATTAAGGTCCCAGCTAGTAGAGCGTGGGGATGATGGGAAAAGGACAAGGGACACCTGCGATATTAGGGAGCAGAGAGGATTCACGCACATCCCAACAGACCCAAGATCCTTATCAGTAGCCTGGCCCTGTCTAACTTAAGCCCAACCCACCTCAGCTCCAGCCACAACCCAGTCTCCAACCCAATTCAAGCTCAAAGCCCAGTCCGACTCAACTAGAACTCCCAGTCTTACCCACTGAATACCCCCTGAGCCCCAGCTCCAAGCCAAAATACAATCACATCACCAAACTCAATGCCAAGCAGCAGCCCGTCACCAAGCTTAACCCAAGCTGCCCACACCATCCAGTCCAAGCCCCAGCCTAACTGCCAACACCAACTCCACTCACTCTCAAATGTCAGACCTCTCCAACCACCCCAAGCCATCGGGAAAGCCCAGCTTCTCCCCTCCCACTCATTCTAGTATTCCCTCTGTCACTCCAAGCTCAAGATCCCCCCATCACAAAACACACACAGCCTTCTACATAATCTCCCAAAGTCTCCAAAAAGCCCCCAGCTTGCATCCAGTCCTTCTTTGACATTCTTTGAATATCATCCCTGTAAGTGCTGGATGATCCAAACCTCTATCATCCTACCGCCTTGGCAGAAAAGAATCAGGAAGAGAAGATACCGTCCTGGGAAAACCTCCCAGAGCTGCATGCCACGAGGAAAGGTTTCAGGTGCTGCCCTCGGAGGGAGGGGAGGGAAAGGGGAGGAGCCCATGCCCAGAATCCCAAATCCCTGGGGTGGGCGTGTGGCTGCCACTGGTTGTGCCTGCGTCCTACACTGGAGTGCCTGGGTTCAAGTCCCACCTCCGCTTCAGATCCAGCCTCCAGCCGATGGGCACCCTGGGAGGCAGCAGGTGATGGGTGCCTGCCACCCATACGGAAGGCCCAAATGAAGCTCCTGGCTTCAGCTTGACCCAGCCCCAGCTATTACAAGCATTTGAGAGTGAGGCATCTGGGGAGTGAACTAGCGGGTGGAAGATCTCCCTCTCCCTCTCTCTCTCCATCTCCCTCCCTCTCTGTCACTCTGCCTTTCAAATAAGTGAAAATAAATAAATAAACCTTTAAGAAAAGAATCCCGGGCTCTAGAGAAAGGCCTGCCTTACCCAAGTTACCTGGCATCACGGGCTCCATGGCCAGAAGGATGGCAAGAGACAGGAAAAGAAGCTTCATGACTAGCAGGAGCCAGGAGCAGGAGGCCACTGGACTGCCAGAGGCAAAGACAGAGCTGCCTGGAGCAGGGATGGGCCTCACTCCTATCAGCAAGGCCGTGGGCAGTGCACTAGAACAGTGGTGGATTTATACGAGGGAGGTCAGCCAGGCCAAGGGACAGTGTGTAGCTGATGTCTCAGCAAAGCACAAGACGGGAGTGTGGGACATTGACCAGTACCCATGCCAGAAGTGGCTTTCCCCACTGCCAAGGACACAGGCAAATTGAAGCTATTGGGCCTTTTGAAACCCACAAAGTAATTAATTAACACACAAATGTATGTCAAGAAACATTGCATTTTTGGAATCACTTGTTTTCAGCTTTCGGAAGCAGGTATGTGTCTTTCCGAGCCTCTGACTGCCAGGCTTGTCCTCACTCCAGGGCCTCGGCATTTGTCAGTTGTTCTCCCCACACAACCCCTCCTTCAGATCTTCCTGTGGGTGGTTCTTCCTATTCATTCGCTCTCCTCTCAAGTGTCACTCCTCCGGGGCAAGCATGATGGCAAAGCAGGTTAAGCCACTGCTTAAGACGCCTGCATCCTGCATCTGAGTGCCTGGGGTTGAGTCCTGCCTCCCCTTCTGGTGCAGTTTCCTGCTACTGCTCACCCTCAGAGACAGCAAATGAAGGCCTTGCCACCGACATGGAGACCCAAGAGAGTCCCTGGCTCTGTGCTTTAGCCTGGCCCAGCCCTGGCTATCATGAGCATTTGGGAGAATGAAAAAGCAGCTGAGTTGCCTATGACCACAAACCAATCCTAACCATCTAATTTAATTAAATGGGTTCACTTCTATAAATTGCTTAGCAAAGCACCTGACACGTAGTGGGTACTGAATGATTATGAACTGCAGGTTTGTTATTTTGAATCCTTGTTACAGTATGTATCACCATCGTTTTCATTATTCTTATCCTCAGAACAGCCCCGAGAAGCAGACATCATCAGCCCCCAATTCATACTTGACAAAACTGAGATGGTCAGGTGCACTGACCTGCTCAAGGCAGGGAGAAAGCAGGGAATAGAAAGCGAATTTGCATCCAGGAAGATCAAAAGAATGGTCGGTAAAAAGATGTGGCTGTGGACGTCCGGCATAGGGGGAGGCACGTAACCAAATCAGCATCTGGGGCCTTCAAGGCCACGCTCGGGGCCTCAGAATCCATCCTATGGGCAGTGGGGGACTGTAAGATCTTTCAGGAAGGACTGTGGCGACAGGGCCAGGTGTCTCTTCCCCTAGAAAACCCCTCCACCGTGGGAGCTCAGGAGGGTGTTTCAGGTCCCTAAGAAAAATGGCAAACATCAACACAAAGGGTATGAGAGAAGGAAAACCCCCCTGAAGGCTGAAGCCTCAGAGAAGACGCACCCCGCCGAAGTAGCCACGGCACCCAGTTCACGGGTCCCACTCCCAGCTAGAGTTGGTGCCGATGCTTCACGTGCACTGTCGCATTCCATCCTCACAACCACCACGTGGAGGGCTCTTCCCTCCAGTGCACTGATGAGGAAACTGAAATTCAGAGGGCAAATGTCTCGCCCAAGTGATCCCATGAGGAAACCCAGGATTTGAATCCAGGTCTGGCTGACCCTGAAACGGTCTAACCACGACCGCCTCCTCCTAGCACAGCAGCAGCCCTGCTAAGGGAGGAGATCAGTCACCTAGAACGTGAGGAGTCTCTGTGGCGAGAAGGTGGGAATGAGGTCAGAGAAACACTTGGTTGTGGTCCTCATTTTTTAATAACATGTCTGTCGGATCGTAAAATGAACTCACTGAGTGTATGGTGCCAAGATTTTTTTGGAGATTTCTAGAGTGGAGCCACCATCGTTGTCACCTAAACCTAGAACACGCCCATCAGCCCCTCTGCAGTCACTGCTCATTCCCACCCCCGCCCTGATGGAACTGGTCTCTGTAATAAGGTCCCCAACCGTGGATTATCCATTTGCAAGGTTAACCCTCACTAGGAGGTGTGTGTGGCAAAGAAGGAAACCACGGCACCAGGCAATGAAATGACCAAGCCAAGGCCACAATGGGGATCAGAATTCAAACCCTGGACTCTCCTAAGAGGCTCAGGCCGTGGAGAAAGCCGTATTTGCAACAGCATGCGAGAGGTAAGCGTTCTTCAAGCTGATCCACTGTGTAATCAAGATTTGAAAGCACAGAAAAGAGAGGGGTTTTGTTGATGGAAAAAAAAAATCTAAGGGAAGAAGGGAATGGAGTTAAAGAATTAAATGAAAACCTTAAACCCTCGAACATTTATGTCAAGTGCACCTGGATTTGAATCCGGATCGTGTGACTGCTGCAACTATATGAACAGTTGGTTTCATTTTGTTTGTTTTGCTTCATTTTTGTCTGTTTATTGTCTGCATTCACCTTTCCATCTGGGGAGAACCCTACCCTATGAGTTTTGAAGAGAGGGAGTGATGCTTTGCACCACAAAACTTTACAATTTCAAATACTTGCTTTCCTGCCTCCCTTGCAGCTAGGATGTGAACACACGGTCTGTGCTCAGCCAATCACATGATCTCATCCTGTCCTTTGAATCAAGTGCTCATTAATACAGGAAGGAGCAATAGTGGAGAATTAATCTTAGCAAAGGAGCCCACAGTGAGGTCCAGTGTCCAGGGGAAGTAGGGAGGCAGGACAAATGGGAGTAGGCTCAGGTCCTCATCAAAGGGTTTGGTGAGAACCGAATTTGCTCTGCACTGGGTCTGCAAGGTGATTTTCCACTCCGGCTCTGTCTAACCCCCATCCTTGGTCCCCACTCATTTTCTAAGCCTGGTTCTAGGAATTCTCTGAACTGGCAAACAGCTAAATTATTTCATTGGCTTAAATCCTAAATTGATGCCATGGCCAGGTGTAATTTCTTTAACCAAGTCTGGGGCAACAATACTATCTGGTTCATGTAAGCAACAGACAGTTCCTGTCCAGGGTTTAGTACAGTCCTTGGGAGGTGGTAAGTGCTCAAGACACGTCAGTTATAAGTTCTTTGTTTTGAGGTGAGCAATGAGGAAAAAGGGAGGCAGTTTGGGCCTCTCCAGTCTTACAAAAGCAAACTCGGTTTTCTCCCCTGTGTGGAGGGAGATGGGCAAGATCTAGAGAAGTCACTGTGGGGGATGGAAGAGAAAGGACAGGGAGCTCTGAGGGAGAGAACTGGGCAGCCAACAGGAAGACAGGGCCCATGCTTGGAGCACCAGGAAGGCACAGGGCCAGAAAAAAAAATCAAAGAAACTTAAGAACCCCTTTTACTTTCAGCATATGGGAATGCTTTGCCTCGTTTCACAAGAGTAACATTTTATTTCAGAGTTAAATTTTGCTTGATTTTTGAATTCCACTTGGCCACCACCATAAACTTCTTGGTGTCTGAGGTCAGTAAAGGTACTCATGAGGACTTGTTTCATGGGCAATGGAGCTCACCAGGACGACAGGGTGTGGGAGACACTATCTGGCTGTGACAATAATGCCAAGTGTTCAATCTGGACCAAGACTGAGCAGCTTACCTGTGTCCTTGAGCAAATCATTCAACATCTGCAAGACTCAGTACCGAATGAGACAACACAGCAGGGTGATTCCAGACCTGAGTTCTGAAGTTTGTCTCCTGGCTGTGCTACCTTGGAAGTCACTGAACCTAACTTGGTTTCCTCAGCTGTAAAACAAGAGAAATAATAATTCACAGGATTAATGTGAGGATTAATGAGTGAATATTCACAAAACATGTAGGATATTACCTGATACTTAATAACTGCTGTGTACATACCTGCTTTTATTATTGTTTAGACCAGGAGACTCCAGGCCCTTCCTGACTACAGCTCTTTCAGTATTCCTTAAGCTCCATTAGGAAACACCTGCTGTTACACATGAATGCCCAGAGAGCACCGTGGTGATGCAGAAAAGTGGCCTGGACTGGCATAGGAGAAATGGAAAAGGAGTGTTTAATTGCCATGGAGCATTTCTGTTTGAATGTCCAGGTTCATGTTTGTGTTGTACATACACATGTGTCAATTTGTGAATAGGTAAGTATGTCTAAATTTTGTATGTTTTATATATATATACTTATATATGTAAATATATATTATATATTTATATATAAATTTTATATATTTTATAGATACTTTGCATGTGTGTCCTAGTTATCTGTTTTTGTGAGCATGAGTACTTCGAAGCACATGTGTACGTATGAGGGTACTTTATGGTAAAAGGGAATTCATGCGTTTTCCATGAGCCTTCTGAAGACCACGTATGTAGTTTGTATGTAGACATGTAACTGGAGCATGGATGTGTATCTGTGTGTTTTCAGTCGTACTTGCATGTGTGCCTGCTCACAGGTCTTCCTACATATGCCACAGACCACAGCTCTGTCCAGTTCTGCCCCTTTCTTCCCCTCAGGCCTCTCCAGCCCCAGGCTCCGGGACACTATCATAGCAGGTGGATTCTCCTGTCGAGCCGGCGAGCTGGGCAAAGGCTAAGGGAAGTGGCTGAGGGAGTGTGGGTGGTCAGCAGGCAGATGCCACCCAGGAAATGGTGACCACAGTGAGTCTTAATCAAACAGCCAGGTTGGCCTGTGACTGCTGTGTGATGTCTCCTGGGGCCAGCCCAGACTGGCCTTGGTTGTGCCACCCACATGGGTACGTCCAGACCTGGCCCGTTCTGCAGACCAGGCACCACCTACTCCCTCAGATCTGTGCACTTGCATATAAAATTCTTGGCAGAACTCCCACTGCCTGAAGCCTAAATCCCACAGCAGAGAGGGGAAAGAACTCCCAGTCATCAAATTCCAGGGCAGTCCTGCCCACCTGGCCTCATCGACTCCCCCCACTAAAGTTCTGGGTTCATCATATGGCAAGAAGGTAAAGAAGTGAGAAGGGTAAAATCACAGCCTTCACGGACGACTTCACTTCCAGGCATTCACGCTCTGCGTGAGGGCCTGAGGCTCTGGAAGCACCATGCGAGTGCCAGGGGCTCGTGAAAGTACGGCGAGGCCATTTCAGAGGGGCTGGATCCTAGAGGAAATCCTTTAACCAATACCTCCCCACCTGTGGGTCCTGTCTCAAGCAGCGTTCTGTGAAACAAACACAGTGAAAGCATTGCTTCCATAATGTACTGAAATAATGACAGTCACGTGCCAATCATGAATGCTCCACCACACTCAGGCCTCAGTAGATACTGCACTGT